TTATTATTATTATTATTAGATTTATAGTCTCAGCTGAGTCAGCTGACTCCTGCTTCCAAACCAAGTTCATTTATAAATGGAGGCTTTTCTAAGAATGTTTCTTACTGAGAATTTAACCATTTTTATGATTTGATATCAATATGGTGTCATAAAAAATATATTTGCAGATTTTAGTCAGATTACCTTTTAAATCCTCCCACTCTGCTGTTGTGTATTTAACTCATCACATCATTTGTTCGAGCAGCAGCTGCACCGCTGTCTCTGTCTCTGGTTGTAATCTCGTTGTTTATCTCCCTAATCTTCCCTTTCTTCTTACCACACGATCTCTTGTATCCACTTCAAAGCCAGACACGGCAATTCTCTTTCTTTTGACTCTGTGTTCTGCTCTCTGATGCTCATTGGTCTGAAACAGCACCCTTTCTTTCACCGCACATTGTCATCCTTCATCCCGTTTCTTGSTTCCTCGTCATGTGCCAGGGTCTCCGTTCAGAGAGGAGATCACGCAGGCCATCCTCCAGATGCAGGAGAATAACAGGCTGGAGATCCTGAAGAGGAGGTGGTGGGAGGGAGGACAGTGTCCTAAAGAGGAGGATCATCGTGCCAAGGGTGAGTTGTTTTTCCTCCGCCCCTCATCCTCTGAAATGTCCCCAGTAAAAGTTTCCTCGCTCTCTACACAGAGCAGTCAATGGCTGATATCCAACCTAATGTTCCAGTGAAGGGACAACTGGACAGTTTAGTTTCCCAAATGTTTTCTGGCAGAGGGTGTGTATGTGAGTTTTATTGAGAGTAGCTTTTACTTAAAGTTTAACGAGCATGTCAAGATTAAAGCCAGTAACGGCACTAAGGGTGTCTTTGCACCAGCCCTGTTTAGTCCGCTTTAATCAAACTCTASTTTGTTTGCCTGGAAAGTTTGGTTTGTTTGGGGAGGTGGGAACACGYAATCKAACTCTGGTCCRCCTGCAAACGTAGGTCTCGGTTCAGATAAAGTGAATTCTGGTGCTGTTCGAATGTATGTGTGAACGCCAAAATGCCAAACRGACYAGAGACCGYTRCAAAAGCAGGAAGCGGACTATAACGCAGGTCATTATGAGTAATAAACTCATCTTGTAAATAYCTCACTCAACGTCTGTATAAGGTGAACATCATTGCTGTGAAGTGGGATGCACCCCTACCACCCGCTTCGGATGTYATCATCCATTAAATGGACATTATTAGCCGTTATCAGTCCCATAGAATGGCTTCAGACTGTCCCGACTGTGCCGCCTAGTGGGTTCTCTGTCCCATAGAATGGCTTCAGACTGTCAGCTGGTTAGTATGAGACATAAAACCACTAAGATTTGTTTTAGAGAAAATTACATAGGATACGATAACGTAGACCGGACTCCGGCGGTAGCAGATTGTTGCATTCCAACGTATACGGCACTGGTAACCCACTAGGGGGCATTGTCAGGACAGTCTGAAGCCATTCTATGGGACTGATAACTGCTAATAATGTCCATTTAATGGACTGATAACWTCCGAACCGGCTGCTACTACTCGGTGAACTCCACCTCAAACAGAGCCGTCTCAGCTATCTAGTGTGGAAAACAATATTCTTGAGCTCATTGTTGAAGACTATTTGTTTGACACATTTGTCAAAATCAAGAAGTAAATCCCACAACCACTAAAATCTGATGTCACTCCATGTTTGTTTACATTTTGTGATGAAGGAAATTGCTCTCAGAGTCTTCTTCTGAGAATTTTGTGTCGATTCCTTCAGTGGTTCATGGTGCGGGGTGGGTGGGGGGCAGGTTGTTCACAGGGTTTAGTTCCTTTGACACAGTGCAGTGTGAATACAAACTGCACCAAGAGAAAATGTAAACAAATCTTGCAATTTTGGTCCCAAATCGAACCAGACTATCGGGTGTGTATAAGACCTAAGATGCACATAGCTGTTTAAAAACAAAGAAAGCACGTGATYTGTTAGTGCTTCATAGTGAGGATGCTTCTCAGCGACATTCAATTTTAGATTGCCAGCTGCAAAACTGACTGAGTTAAAACTATTTTTGTGTCGACTAAAATCTATTAGCTGTGATGGCCACCTTGAATCAAACTGACACCAAAAGCAAATCGGTTGTAGGTGTATATTGAAGGATTACCTTCTGAGAGTTTTAATAAAATCCATCCATCGGTTAATGGGATGGAGCTAAAAGACAAAACCACTTTGCACACATTGCAAAAATATCTACAAACATCTGCACAGTTTATGTTAAAAAGTCGAGACATTATGAAGACAAGCAGACACGAAGCTGCAGGGGCTGAGAAATCTAGATAATTTTTTCAGAGCCATTTGTGGGTCAAGCTTAAAAAAATCTAACCTTACATGTTACATAAAGCAGAATGACAGCCCTTTTTTCTGACCCATTAAAGATGGTCTGTCAAGATGTGGAGGTTATGAAAGCAAAACAGGAGATTATAAAACTGCCATTACATGCTCAGCTTTTGTTTGTTTTTATTTTTTTACAAATGAAAGGAATTATACATGCAGCCAAATCTCTCTTTATTTCTATTTTTACAAGAGTATTACAATAAATTGACTTTTATTAGCTGTTTGTTTAGCTGATATGTGATAAAGTCAAGTTGACCCAGTAAAAAAAAAAGGAAAGAAAAAAACGTGGGCGATAACATTTCATGAAATTGAGGCAGGACAAAATAACAAACAAATAAAACAATGAAATAAAGGCAGAATTTGAAGGGTAAAAACTGAGTTAGTGAATAAACTGTTGGTGATCGTGTGATTTAAGTTTGAGTCCTCTCACGTTGCGTCTTCGGGTCTGGTTTAGGTTTGGGCATGGAGAACATTGGGGGTATCTTCGTAGTGCTGATCTGTGGCCTCATCATTGCCGTGTTCGTGGCCATCATGGAGTTTGTGTGGTCGACGCGCCGCTCAGCAGAGACCGATGAGGTATGCCCCCATACCTGCCCTCGCCGACCCCACAGACACACCCCAGTAGGTTCACATGGCATCTCGCCAGCTCTTCTACTTATATTTTCTTTGTGTGCAAAAGTGTGTATATTTTCGTTTGCCTTTCTTTCTTTAGTCTGTGTGCATCTTGATATTTGATGTGCAATGTGTTACTTATAGATGTGATAAGAAAAATGTTCAAATGATGTCCAAAAATATTACAAGTGGAGGAATTTGCTGCATGCTGTGCCTGTTTTGACGTTGCTGTGCCCTTTAAGTGTTTGGTGTCTAACTGTGTGGCAGCAAGTGTTTGTAAGCTAAACTTAACAGATCAGATAAGCAATATTGAGAAATGCCAATATTTGCTTGCATACAAGAAGTAGAGTGATCTTTTTTCCCCCTGGCATTAAATGTCATGATGTATCTTCTTTTACATGCCTCACATGTACGCTGGTATTCTTCGTTCCCATTATTGGATTACTTCTCACCCATCTCACTGTGCGTCTCCCTCTACTTTTCTAAAACACACACAAACACACACACTTCCTGTCATTCGGCCATCAGTGTCTGTTCTCCAAGAACGAGTACTGTTTCTGTTTATGTGAGCACATGATCCTTGATCATACTTATGATGAAAGTGATTGTCCGTAATTGCAATAAGTTGGTGCATTTTTGTTTGCCATGTGTTCAAATAACAGTAATCATGTGGTTGGATGAAAGCGATTTATGGAATTTAAATGTGTGTCTGTGAGTGTTTTTTTTAAATTTATTATTTATTTTTTTTTTGTAAATGTTCATCTGAGTTTTCAGGCCGGCCTGTTCGTTCATACCACCATGAACTAAAGATTATTTAGGTGTTCTGTGTATTTAGATTGTAATAACTCTCTCTGCTTCTTAAACATTCTCTCATCTCTATCCATCTCCTCATCCTTCCCATCATCTCTTTACTCTTTGTTCTTGTTTTCAACCATTTCTCCATTTGTCACCCTGTGCCTTTGTTTCACCTGCGATGTTTTGTTGAACACACCCACTGTGTTTGTTTTTCTCGGCGCTGCCCTCTTGTTTTTGAGCTTTTTTGCGTTTCCTTTGAATTTTTATTTTTTTTATTTTATTTTTCTCTCTACCTCATTTATGTACGGTCCTGTTGTGCTGCCCGCCTACTTGTGTCTGTGGCACCTCCTCTACCTTTGCCTCCTTCCCTTCTCTGCCCCTCCTTTCCTTCTTCCCTTCTCCTTCCTTCCTTTTCACCTCCAGGTGTCTGTCTGTCAAGAGATGATCACAGAGTTCCGAAACGCCGTCTCCTGTAGGAAGAGCTCTCGAATGCGCCGCCGCCGGCCCCTGAGCAGCTCGGCAGCCTTACGACACCCCACCCGCATYGCTCTCGGGGCCCCTCGGCCCCTGCGGCTGGTACGGGAAATGCGGCTCAGCAACGGCAAGCTGTACAGCGGAGCTGGGCCCCTGACTGGTGGAGCAGGAGGGGCAGGACTTCCAGAGCTGGGCCCCGGGCCCCAGCGGATCCTGGACGATCCACTGGGCGCTAACACCACCCCGCCTCCCCCTGCCCCCACCCCCGTGATGCTGCCTGCCCGCAGCTGCGCCCATGTGAGGATCTGTCAGGAGTGCAGACGGATCCAGAGCCTGAGARCAGGCTGCAGTTTAGGATCAGCCTCCACCAGAATCCCGCCCTCATCTGCCCCTCTGCCCAGGCTACCTCCACCCCCACCCCCATCCTCATCCAACACAGACAGCGAGGGTGGAGGGGGATCCAGCCCGAGGCGGCTACATCACAGCTCCCCACCTCATTCCCCGCGTCGCAGTCTCCCCCCACAGAGCAGCAACAACACAGACCTGCTGGGAGACCAGAACTGAGAGTCAAACCAGCAGGGGGTTGTTGTCAGAAGGCAAATAACTGTTTTTTTTTTCATGGGAAACTCAAAAAAAGCGAGTGAGAATGTGTAAGTTGAACCCCACAAGAAACAAAAATATGTTTTATAGGAGAAAAATGAATGTGAAACCTCTAAAAGGTCTTCCAGTTCTGAGGCCGACAGCTACGGAACTGACTGTAGGCCGGGCAGAGCTTCAAGTACCGGATCAGAACATCAGTCCAGTTTGAACAAATCGGAGAAGGACTGGACCGGACTGAAGGATGGTTTACTTGTGTCTTCTTACTCGCCTCTCATTCAAAGTTCAAACCTGAAGATATTGATTTTCCTTCATAGAGACTTCACTGGAAGCCAACTTGATTTTTGATAAAAAAAGAAAAAAATAAATAAAAAATAAAATAAATAAAAACTGAAGCCTGTCTGGAGGACGTACTGTACTGTGTTCACATAGGCTCAAAAACAGCAGCTGAAAGACTTCCAGAGAATTATTTCCTGTTGGGTTTTTTTTCTTTTGTTGTCTTTGTTTTGTTACCATTGTTCTAAGTGGGAATAAATAAAGACTCTGTGTAACTCTTCGGTGGATTTTAACAAACTAAGAACCTTGACAGCAGCTAATTTTGTTCAAGAGTTTTGTGTCCCTCCCTGTGTCCCAAAGCTGCTTTTAGGGTGATGTGAAAGTCCGATAAAACCATGACAACATCGTGCAAAACAGTAGCAAAGAAAAGTGTTGGCTGTCTTTTTTTAACACTGTGTTTAAAATCTGTGCGTCTTGTAAGTCCGTCTCTAATAGCTCAATAGGGAGCATGTATTCAGCAAAAAACCTTTTACCAACGTTAGATAATCAGACAGCCGCAGAAAAGGGAGGACAGAGGAACCAAGAAGCTTTGAAATGTGAAATTAATGTCCCTCGTTATCCAGAGTAACCCTCGCCAAGCTTTTACTTTTTCTTCCAACCTTTTTTCACACAGCGTAGATGAGATAGACTGGGGTGAGCCAGAGAAACAAGACAGAAGAACAGAGAGGGAAATAAAAGATGGAAAGAGCTTCTGAGTAAAACCGGCACTCCTGAGTCTGAATGAGAAATCCCTAACTGAACTTTTTCCATMATTAGATTTGTCCTGATCTGGTAATTCTGGGCATATTTAAGGGGCTTTTTGTTGCACCAGCAGGCTGTATCTGCAGCCGCTTCACTACTCACTGTTCAGCATACCGACGACTTGGCTGTCCGCGGCAGTAACTCCTGCCAACGTGATAAACTCAACTCAGCCTTGTCGATACTGTTTCAAGTTTTTGATCGCCTAATTACTCCCCTTGGTGGCTGGGGACTCATTTAGGAGGGGGAGGAATGCAGACAGAGACGTGCTGATGAATAGATTTAGGAGACATACATGGCTTCGCTCTGGGTGAGAAGATAATTATATCCTTTTTAATAATTGTTTTTGTGGAACATCAACCAAAACAATTTAAAATTTATAAAAGAGTGCAAAAACAAAACACCTAAATATCTCTTTCCAGAGATCAAAGTATCTCTGACTGAGTTGCAGGCAAGGTCACAGGATTCTGTCTGCAGATCCGTTTGGTTCTGTGGGTTTGGGTGGGAGCTTGAATAGATCAGGATTTTTCATCCCGCAGACGCTCGATCAGATTTGGATTTRGGGAATTGAAATCCTGGCTGGGTCAGTGCTTTATTGAGCTCTTTGAAGCATTTTTTGGAGCGTGATGGTGCACATTATCCAGCTGGGATAACACCTAATCTGCAACAGTATTTAGTTGAGTTGTTTGTATCAGAGGTAACRTCATCATGAACGCTGCCAGAACCTCACGTCTCCCTGTAGAGCCAGCACTGTAACAACATGATCAATGCTTTTCACTTCATCAGTTGCATGTTAACACTGTGGCAGAGTTCTTTAAACAGATACACTGGAGGATTTTAGTTTTTTTTTTTCAATTCTCCCTAATCAGAACACTCTWCAGATCGCTTCTAATTGGTTTATCAAAGTAAACAATTAGAAAATGATCATTATTCTTTAATAAGAGCTCTGATTCAGTCACTCAAACATGAGGAATACATACAAATAAAACCACAACAAAGTAACATCTTTTAGATCTCAATGTGGGTCAGATTACRTCAGCGTGTATTAGAGTGTGTGTGTTAATGTTTGTTTACATGGCTGCATGTTCTTCTGCACATAAATGAGATCACAACAGTAGAAAGATGCAGAGGATTGATGCATGCAAGACAGCACAGAGAGAATGAGTTGTCCAAAACAATTATTGACACAAATGATTAAATAAGCACAAAATTACTTAAAAAATAATTTATAACTGCACGACGAAAAGCAACTTTATTTTATAACAAAAAAATTTAAAAGATGTCACCTATTTTTATGGTTCTGATTGATGAAAAAAGACCAAAGTCAGAATTTATTATACAAACAACATTTGTATAATTACTATTTCTCCTCACTCTTGAACCAAGAGTCATGTCTCTTTATTATGTGACACAAAATTTAAATCAATTTGTAACTAAATCCTTATGTTTTTTCACCCCAGCAGATTTCTGTGTGCCTAAACATATCTCCCATTAATGCACCATTACTTCCAGTTCAGTAACATCTGCTTAAAACTGCAGCACATAGCTGTTTCTGTAAAGTGGGAGACGTTTGTGCCACTTGTGAAGAAAAGTTTACGCAGTTCTGTTCGTTCAATCACAGGTTAAGGTGTTTTTTTTTTTTTTTTACCATAAAACAGAAAAAAATCAAATCAGTTTTCTGTAGAAGAATGCAACATGTTGCTTTGTTACAGAGTGACAGAAGTTCAAGATTATTGGTTTTATAATGAAAGAGGAGGTTGATCTCTTCTAAGGATTGGCATAATGTTGGTAACTTAATTTATTAAGTGCAGGTTAGGTTAGAGATGTAGAGATAAACGGTTAAATATYGACGAAAAAACTTGACTAACAAGTAAATTTCAGGACAGAAAATTTTGGTGTGTGGATGAGCAGAAGAACTGGAGAGGAAACTGATTCTGACTCAATAAAAGATAAAAAAACATTTTATTTTTTTTCTGGACCCTTAAATATATTTATTGTAAGCTATTTCAATTTTAAAGGATAACTTGTTCTTGTTCCTTTTTCTTATTTTATTTGTTCAAATTGATTTAAAAACACTGAAAGTTTCATGCATTAAAACAACCATCTTACAAAATCTAAGAAGAAAAAAATGTTTATGCTATATTTCCTCTTTTGTTTAAATTCATTTAATGCATTAATGAAATCAAAAATATATGTTTTTACTTCCTTATAACCAGATTTAGAAACCTGGGCTGATGAGTGTTTGGTAACTTTTATTGTTTAAAATTTGTAAAGACAGAAATCAAAAGATATTCTAAATTTGTCGAGCTGGACCGCAGACATGTTTGTGTCATCAGGTGTATTTCTTGGTTAGTTCACTTAGATCAGATGTAACCAACAGAAATTCCACTCAGTTAAACAGTTTTCTTCTTCTATGACACTTAAAACAAACATTTAAGTCCTGGGGTCAAACACTGATTTTACTTCAGACATGTACTTTTTTTCCCCCCTGTAGGTTACTGGAAAAACAACCTTCTGCTTATTCACTTCCCAAAGGACTCAAATGAATGAGTCACAATTTATTTTAATATATGTGCTTTGGAATAACAGTTCTTTCAGAATGTCTTTCTGATTAATGTGTTCATAAAACAAAGATGTTTAAAATCGGAGAGCTTACTGATGCAGCATTTTTCATGCAAAATATTACCGGATTCCCATAATCCTGCTGTCTCTTTCTTTCTTTCTTTCTTTCTTTCTTTCTTTCTTTCTTTCTTTCTTTCTTTCTTTCTTTCTTTCT